GAGAGAGAGAGAGAGAGAGAGAGAGAGAGAGAGAGAGAGAGAGAGAGAGAGAGAGAGCAAAATCAAATGAATCCACCACTAGAACATGGAAATATACATTGCGCACATGTGCACAGCACACCAGACGTGCACAGCGCAGCGCGCACTGCGCACCCAGATGCGTGGCACGCATTGGTGCGCGCGCACCCTGGGTCCGCGCACAGCGCACTGCGCAGCGCACAGTGCCGGTGTGCCGCAAGTATGGTTTCAACGCGTAACATGACGAAATCATAGCATCAAACCGGACCGACAAAACACTCAAGGAGACTCGTATTTCTGGGTGGGAGCTGTATCGATGTAGCAGTAAATGTTCAATCACCATAGTAGGAGAAGCCCTTGCTTTCACCAGGGCCAAACACATTGGGTAAATCAGAAAAGTATGTCATAGACAGAAGCTTTATGAAACACATTGGGTAAATCAGAAAAGTATATGAAACACATTGGGTAAATCAGAAAAGTATGTCATAGACAGAAGCCTTATGAAACACATCCAGGTTACTAAAAGTGTGACCTCCTAGTACAGGTCTGATCCTAGCCGCTCAATCCTCAAGATTAGAGAGCTAGCAAGACCGGAGTGTGTGTTTTGAATTTTCACCACAACAGCCCCTATTCCACCCAGATAAACAGATCCAAAATCAAAGCATATTTAATCCTATTACAGACAACAAAAGCCCTTGAGTTCAGACAACCCCACAATGAAACGGTTGTGTTTGTGTTTGTCTGTTGTCATATTCGCTATACACTCAAAAAAAGCATGACTGTGCCAGACTGTTTCGTCGGACTTTCACCGACTCATCAGTGTGTTTGTGTGTGTGAGAGAGAGAAAGAGAGAGTGCACACTGCCTATACACTCTAAAGCATGACTGTGCCAGACTGTTTCGTTGGACTTTCGTCGATTCATCAGTGTGTTAGTGTGTGAGAGAGAGAGAAAGAGAGAGTGCACACATATAACCAATAATTACCTGTAATCTCTGGCCGACATGTTTTTCGTAAAGCTCCTCTCCAGTCTCAATTTTCCCCATGTGACATGTCAAAGCAGCAGCGGCCCAGACTGTCAAATAGATAGACTCTGCTGGTGCACTGACGATGTCGATCCTTGCAAGACCACCAAGGTGTATTGCTCCACCAACCTGGCAGAAGCAAATGCGCAAAACTCAGGCCCAATGTGAGAGACCGTTGAAAGAAAGTACAACTGGTTTGGGTTGTGGGAAGTTCTGGCTATCAAGAGGCGGGCCTAGAGGCCTACAAAAACGCGTTTTTTCTTTTTCTGGGGGGAAAACCACAAATCAATTTTAGTTTGCCACAAAAACTGTCAAATTACTAAATTAGTTGAAACTTACTTCCCCAACCTTGAGAGATCATCTATGAACTGACCGGGCCCAGGTAAATTCAGAGTTGTTTTCACTCATCATCTGATTCAGATGGAATTCAAACTTTAGGTATATATTTCACCAGTGCACGGGCATACCAACTGAGTTAGTCGAGTTAATGACAAAAAAAAAGAAAGTAAATCACAGGTTGAAATAAAGAACAAGGCAAGAAGAATCAAGTGGTCTCACAACCACTTGTTCTCATTTACAGTTTCCAAGTCATTTGCACAATGGGCCACAAACACAAATGTCAAAAACAATTTCTCTTCCCTTGTCTTTTTTAGAGTTTTTTTATTTTTCAAACTTTAAAGGCCACTTCTTTTAAGCCCAACAAATTCAATTACCTGTCAAATCTGGACAGGACAGGCTTTCAGGCCTTTTTTTTTTTTTTTTTTTTTATTACGGGGAACCCCGTAGCAGCCACATCCGTGC